AATTAGAGCCATTCCAGTACCTCCCAGGAACTTTCTCAGTAGAAGCTTGGATAGATGGAAAGCTCCCAGCACAGGCAGCTGGGCCCCACTTTAACCCACAAAATAAGTTCCAACTTTCCACTCAAAACTAAGTTATTTCTCAAATGTCGAATCAGCACTCTTTGCTTAAATTAGTTTTCTCTTGTGCTTAAACACAACCCAAGGGGTAAGTCACAAGCTCAATGAACTAACAGGACTGGTAACCCAAAAACAGAGTGGGGGCCAGAAGTGGCAGAGGAGATCTTGGTTCCTTGCATGTTTTGGACTTATATATTGCCCAGGTGCCACAAAATGAAATACTACACGATTAGAATAAATTCTGCTCAGCAATACCACTTTCTCTCCTAACTAAAGCCTAACTACACTGGTTTCCTTAAAAATCAAATGGATTTTTGACACTTTCCAAAGTAACTTCAATCTCTTAACTATTTATATTATATTTTGGCAAAATTATCCCTAGTTGTCAGGAAACATTCAAACTTAATCTTTCAGCAGCTAGTAACCAATCTTCTCACATTTTAAGAAACTGTAAAGAAGAGCAAGAACTTGCAGTAAGTTCCAAGTTCTTTCTAAAAGGTTCTTTGACAGTCCAGTTTTGATAAAGTTCCTGATGCCCCAGGTTTGCACACACATCCATAGTCTGTCATGTGGAGTTGCTCTGCATATGCTTTGCCTCTACACTTTTGTCTGCTTTTGTCTGCATTAAGAACACAACAAAGCAGACAATCCTGAAAATAACTTCAGTAAATATTTGCATGAACAAAATGTTGTTTGAATGGTATTTTGGACTTGAAAATGGATTCATGGAACAAAGATGCTTTGCGCTTGGCTTCCTTAGAGGCTTAAATTGTTGTACTGACAAATGTTTTCCAGAATCTCCATCCTGTCTCCTCTCATTTTGAACGTGCTGTCCAGGTACTGAACAGAAAGGTACACATGTTCCCTTAAGTTTTATGTGACAACAGCTGAGTAATGAAGGAAGACCCAATTAATGCCCAAGTGAAGGAAAAGCTGGGACAGCTCTGCTCTTCAATGTTGTGCTTGCCATCCTATCCCACACATGTACCACCGGCCCAGCCAAAACAGATGGAGCTTTAAATTAGCCATAGCCATGACTGCTGTCAGTTAGCCAGGCATGGCATGAGGATGCTGAAAGAGGACAAGGCTTGGTGTGAAGGGAGTAAGAGAAACATAAAACAGAAGGCATAGGGCTATAAAAAGAAGCTTGACAGGTTCTGCTGCCTACAGAACAACCTGTTCAGTTTTATTTTTAAAGGAATTTAACCTAATAAGGCTAAAGTTTGACAGCAGTACTTGCCATTTCTCCATCTGAAGCAAGCTCCACTCCATGCAACCATGTACAGCTGAATATACGGATGTTGTTTTTCCATAGGATTTGTCTATTACCAGACAGTGGTTGGGGTTAGCCCACGTTTAACCACTAGAGGGCTTTATTCTAGCGCAAAATCACCACTTTCCCAGTTAGGTGTTCAGCACCTGTGGAAAAACATCCAAGCCCAGACATGAGTGCTCTCTTTAAATGCCAGATATAAAAGCTAAGTTCTCCGAGTAGCTGAGGCAAATGAGAATAATTTGTAGGACTAAGGACACTACTATGGATGGGCAGCTCGTTCAGGGGAAATTAACAAATCTGAGCCTGTTTCATAAAGAGTTACTGAGCACAGACCAGCCACATTTCTATGCTGGAATGTTTTACCCACATACCTAGTTCTTAGATAAGTGTCCGTGCTGAACAGCACCTCAGGTTGCTTTTAATGACAACAGCAGAATTGAGTTACCTGTAAGCTAGCTAGAACACACCACAGGAAAACATGGGATAAATGAGCCCAGATAAAGGAACAGTGACATAGGGCCTTCCACTCTGAAGCAGAAGTGACACAGCACACTGAAGAGGGACAGGATGGAGCAGAGATTGAACTAAGTATAGCACAGGGAGAAGCAACACCCACCTCAGCTGGGCATGGCTCAGAGAGCAGGTCACAGGCAACGCTGAGAGCAAGACATTCGTAACCCAAGGACCGTGCTGAAAGTCTTGGCTGAGTAGTAGCAGATTAGTTGGATTTGTCTCAAATTACATAGACGTGTAACCACTGAGAAGTTACTCTGCAGAAATTTAAAGGCATCTCAAGACATTTGCCAAAGGAGAAATATTTGTTGCCTGTCCCACTACAATAGAAAAGTACACCTGTCAGTTGTTTGCCTGTGTCTTACTGTGCTGAACAGGTATTAGTGTTCTTTACAATGTTTTCCTTGCATTCACTCTTAACTGAACCTTTTAGTCAGAGAAAGACTCCTACATTTCCTTCTCCAATACAGAGTCCAAAGAACACGTGTTACAAAATCATAAGGACTGTCACAGTGACCTCAAATTACTCAAAAAGATCAGGGACTTTGTTTCTTTTATTAGTATTTGTTCATGTATTACCTTCTCACTAAGAACCATATTAACAGTCTCAGGTATCATTTCTAGATGATTACTGGAATTAGCATTTTTGGTGAAGTTATGGGAAAAGCTTAAACAATAAGACCAGATTTGCAGAGACATGGACATTTTTCAGACTAGAAGAGTAACAAACTTTTGTACAATAAGCTCTGAAATGTGTGTATCTCCTCTAGATATCTAGATAAAATGGATAATAATTGGGTTCAATTCAGCATCATAGAATGGTTTGAGTTGGATGGGATCCTTCAGATCTAGTTCTAACCCCTCTGCCATGGACAGGGACACCTTCCACTAGACCAGGTTGCTCAGAGCATCATCCAACCTGGCCTTGAACACTTCCAGGGATGGAGCATCCACAGCTTCTCTGAGCAACCTGTGCCAGTGCCTCACCACCCTCACAGTAAAAAACTGACACACCACCACCTCCTGCTCCCCTACTCCCTTAAAAATCCTCAGTAATTTTTTTATTTTCTAGCATAGACTCTGCCTTATTCTGGTTCTCCACCTAAAGGATTACTCACTGCTTTACTCCAGGATTGTTTAAGGGGGATTTCATGGCCCATGTTACATATATCTGAGTACCTCAAGTCTTAATTTAATATATCCTAAACAGCCTGTTTAGGTGTTCCCTTGAAATATTCTGCCGCTTGTGCAAAATTTAGCTATAACCTGAGGTTAACAGTAGCATGAAGAGAAGCCAGTTCACTGCACAGCCATTCCTGTGGATACTAGGCAGCTTGAGAATCACTACTCACTGCAGCATGTGTGTAACCAGCACAAGCACCTGGTATCTCCTGGTAACATGCAAACTGTGAGTTTGAGTGTCAACTACTGACCTGCACTTGGGTTTGGTTGACCTTAAAGGGCTTTTTTTAATTGTATATTTTGTTGTATATAAGAAATAAATTCCAAAGCACATTGTAGCTCAAACTACAATTCCATATAACACAATAAAGATACTCGAGATCAACCAGAAAACGTGCCAAGAGAAAAGCAATCTAGGGAGGGCAGAGGGTACTTACTCCAGAGAGAAAGCAACTACCATTTTGCTGTCTTCTCTGGAAAAAATACATGTTAGGAAGGCAGTCTCCTTAACACCAGAGCTTAGCACCAACCTTATCCCAATGGCACTGCTTCCTCTTGGAAGTTTCCCCATCAATTCAAGCTACCAGATTTTAAGAGTGCCTAACAAATTAGATAGCTGTAAGCAATATTACTAGCTAAGATCCTCACTTGAGTTAAGAGTTTAAGTGAGTTCACCGAGTCTGACAGTGTAACATTTTGGAGATAAAAACAGATGAGATGACTGTAAGAGTCCTGTTAATAAACAAGACTGAAGTGTCCACCCAGCTCTTCTAGCAGTTTTCCTAAAGAACAGAACTTGGTAACCAGCTAATGGACATCTACTAAACTAAACTGCTTCTAAGGAGACTAAAAAAAGATCAACAGGCTTTTACCCATTATAACTCAGTCTCAAATTCACTCCAGTGGCCTGCACACAAATAAATAGTTTATATTTATTTGTTTTACTTATTTTCTTTATTTATTTGTCCTCTGACATCTCTCAAAGTCAGAGGATGGTGCTACTATCAGTATCAGTCTCAGATACATGGTTTTCAATATCTCCCTGCATTTTGGTATCCACAGAACATTGCTAGTGGAAAATGAAGTTGAAGACTCTCAATAAAAAGTAAATACAATTGCATTTATTTTCCAGCCATATCCCCACACAAAAGCAGTAGAAACATTAACTGCTCTCAGCAGAAAATCTGTACAGCTGTTATCATTTACAACAGTTTCACATTTAAAAACCAGCAAATTTAAAGAACTAAGTACTCTCCCCAGACATTGTTTTCTCAACTGTATGAATAAATGACTGATGACTATTTACAAATTCCAAATTCAGGCTACTGCTTCTTAAAGCATTATTGCACAGGCTTTACCAGACCGTCTTCCAGTTTCTTGAGAGTATTTCATTTCCAATTGTTTCTGAAACATTTTTGCAAATAAAGATTTTTTTTAAGGTAAGGTAGTTAATCTTACAGTAAGTAACTGCAGTAGATGAGTTTACCAGTACTAATGGTTCAGCTACCATGTGCATTAGTTCAAGTCAGATCTTTGCAGAAGAGCCAGATATAAAAGCAAGGTATATTATTACTATTAAACAAATTTTATATTGTGTGTTTGGTCTTGGTCTGCAGGTGGACAACCAAAAATATGAACACAATGGGGGAGATAGTAGTGCTAAATTGTAAGATCTTGTTGTATTCTTTATATTACTTGAGGATAGCACTGCCTTTGGCTAGCTTTTCTATTAAAAAGTTATAATAAAAAAATCTGATATACATAAATTAAAAGTTAACAACGAGTCACACAACTTAATTGCAATTTTACACAAGTCTGGTCTGGAGAATATGTAGGCCAACCACAACTGATTAACAGTCTTCAACTTTGCTTAGGCTTTCTTACTACTAACAGGTTATGAACCAGGCTAACCTCTCAAATTTAAAAGAACTTCCTTTAAGCAGTTTGCACAAGACTGTTTAACTCACAATATCAAATTCTTTCAATGGTTCACCCAAACACACTTCCAAATCAAATTCACCTTCTGCTTGATAGTCAACGTGGCTAACTTTGGTGGGAGTGCCAGAACAGGTATCCTGGAAGACAAAGTCAGTTGTTAATTGGCAGTTAAATACAGGTTTAGTTATGCAATAACTCATTTCACTTCTCTGAATCACTTAGATCACCCTATAACAACCTGACTAACACTTCAAAGGCCATACAAAAACCAAGGATAGTCTTAAGATGTAAGAGATTTACACGTAGGCTTCTGCCCATTCGACCACATAGGAAGATTTCTTCCAGGTGTATTAAGGATCTAAGGGGAGGTTTAGGTCAGATATTAGGAAGAGATTTTTTAGGGAGAGTGTGATCAGGCATTGGAATGTGCTGCCCAGGGAGGTGGTGGATTCACCATCCCTGGAGGTTTTCAAGATTAAGACTAGATGTGGCACTTAGTGCCATGGTCTAGTAACCACGGTAGGGTTGGACTTGATAATCTTGGAGGTCTTTTCCAACCTGGTTGATTCTATGATATATTCATACATTAAAGTATTACATAGATTCAATATTCATCAGAGAAACAAATGCAGTAAGATAAACATTCCTAAATCTTTAATGGAGGTTACTGCTCAGCTGTACCAGGTGCTTTCTGGGTATAAAAGGAACCTACATTTATGTGTGCCAAGAAAATTACACCCTCATCTAACATTAGATGTTCCAATCTAAAGTAGTATTTCCACTGTACATCACAGTTCATAACTGATCTGCTTTCAACATATAATTTTCTTTTGTAGGCTATGAAAATTGAGATATTTGTAATTTGAGACGATGATTTAAATTCTAACTCGCTAAACCCAAGACCAGACAGACATTGGCTATAGCTGGAAAATACCCAAATGTAAAGATTGCTCAGCTTTATAAACAGTCCCTAAACACAGCAGATGATGGAATTTGTCAGATGTTCAGGCTACTCTGGCTATAATTATGAGTAATGAACCAATTATTAGCAAATTATTAACAAATATTTATGCAAATGACAGATATGCTTACATCATTATCTTGACAGCTCGTTTGAGATTCAGTAGAATTGCTTCCAACAGATTCTGTCTCCATCTCACCAAGGTCAACAGGACAACTGTAAAATCATTTAGAAGAATACAGCTTAGAACAAATTCATTTTAGTGTTAAGTGGCACTTTGTGGGGCAGTTCTGAAAACGATGACCAAAAGAGAGCAAAGACACCTACAGAGATCACAGGGACTGTGGTGGTAAAGTGGGGAGAGCAAACAGAACAGCAGCTCAGCTTGACACAGCCAAAGTGACCAAGGACTGAATTAAAGTCTTGAGACTGAATATTGCAACTTGTCAAAGACAAATACCCAATGCTCAAACAATACAAATGATAAAAAATGTTACAGAAGAGGAAGGAATTTTTTTTCCCAGACAAGGTTTTCATCCATCTGTTTTGCAAGGAAGATTTAATAACCACTGGACACAGGCCTAGACTCCCCCAGCATCCAAAGATAAGACCAGTATTAACACCAAAGCACAAAGTAGGGTTCAGGCTGAAGTACCCACTCTCCTCACACTGATAACAGTAAAAGCGTGCTAAAAATAAGCCTCTGCTTTTAGGTCCCATTGCTCCTCATTGGTTTTAAAATCAGCATTTTGTTAGGGAAAAACAGTACCTTATTATCACAAAACTTCTTCCTGAGGAAGTTACATCTGTGTCCCCTTCATTTGCTAGTGCTGCAGTTTTATTTCAGATGTTCCCTGATCAGCTGTATTGCTTTCTATAGAGGAAAGTAACTAATGCATTACTCTTCATCTTCTAAAGTTTCTACAGCTTGGACTGGGAACACTTGTGACTATGCTTTGAGTTTAATGGTACCTTGAGATGATTTTACAAGTACTTCTTAATTTACACCACTGTGTGTGCTGGTTTCTTGAACTAGCAAGTGAGAAGGGTGTGAGGCAGGTTCTTGTACACTGTACTGGTCCAAGCTCAGTATTCAGGAGATCTGCCATTAGTGAGAACTCTCCAGCACTGCTCCTACCACAGGTTAATCAGCAGACTGTTCTGAAGGAATCATCTCACCTCAGTGATGTGGTGCTTTATTACAGCACTGCAGAATGAGCTCTGCTTTCACCATTAAAGAAGTGAGGGATATATACATACAGTCTTGAAAGGACACTGGGCAAGTCTAGTCCCACGAACTAGGTCCAGAAAGCTACTGGATATTTTGATCGAGAAGGAACTGAAGAGCACTAAATGTGGACAAACAACTAACAAACATTCAGCACACTCTGACTTCCCTCAGAAAGGGCTATCCTGGGTGTGCTTGTTTATTTTCTAATGAGAGATTTCATGCATTATTTTCCATAAAGGTATCTTGGATACTGCATACATACAGTTCTTGCAGATCACATCCTCCTTCGGTCGGGGGATCCCAGGAATGCAGTGCAACTTTCCACAGTTTGATTTGCTGGTCCCATGACCTGCGGCTGTACTTCTTAAACTTGTTTGGAGTTCTGGGATGAACTCCTGGTATACGATGGCATCTGTTCAGATATCAGACATGAAAAATTCATTACTGTTTTTCACACATACATAACATGTAGTGTTACATGCCAAGATGGTCTGTATTATTTATGAGAAAATACTACTGTGCAGTTCCGACACTCAAGCAAAAATTTGTCAGTTCCATATGAGCTTCTTAGTTTTCCTGTCTTTGAGTTGACTGGAAAAAAAAATATTATCCATCATAGGTCTGAAAACCTCATTCTAAACTTAAAAGCCATTGTAGCCCACTTTGTCTTCTAATTCACTATTGAAAAAACTGCGCGAAGCAGTTTCATTTCCTCTTGTTGACAAGCACAAGCAAAACAACTTTCACTCTCATTTCTGCAGCATGAGATATTCCCCACATACTGACTAGTTAAAAAAATGCACAGCTCATTTGATTTTTAGTGACTTAACAGTTAAAAAAGGCCTTAAAAGTTTAATGTGTAGATGCCTTCTATTTGAACACGTATCAGATAACAGGCTTAGTATGTTACTATGCTTATGAAGAACAGATATGACTTATAGTTTAGCATTTAGTTTTCCAGCTTACCTAGGAACTTCTTTAATGTATCTATCATATGCAATTGTGTTTTTTCCGTAGTTTATCTGTTTTTGTCTTCTCATCAAAACCACTTCATCTGTCTCAAGTTCTACTGTCACAGTGGACTCCTTTGAATCAGAGCTGCAGACAAAACATTGTAGATTTGGGACTATTAGAAAACAAGTGGCACTCAAACAAACCCACTTGTAAAAGACTATGAACAAACAGGTTAAAACTTTTCAAACAAATGCTTGGGATGTTACTGAACTACAGGGTTAGAGCAACTTAGGAAGAACTATTTTAAACTAAACATTTTAAGAAGCAACATGTGGAAATTCAGACCTATTTTCAAGGCCTTCCTTAGCTAAGCTAGAAATTTAACCTACCTTCCTGAGGAGGACTTCCTTTCTCTTGAAAATTCATTTATCAGGAGTTTTCTTCTATATCTGTAAGAGTTCAAATGAGTATAAGCACACAAAGAGAACATTAAGGCTGCACAGCTCACAGTTGATTTTACTTCTCAGCAAAGCAGCAGCCTTGAGGTCACCCCAGACATTGTAAATGCCTTTCCACTATGGAATGGATATTTCAGTTTTCTTTCAAAAAAATAAATCCAAGGACTTTCTTTTCCTAAGCATTTTTCCTAAAAAAAAAAATATAATTTATAGCAGTGATACAAAAACAAAGTGTCATTAGTGAAAGGGTTAAGTATCCCAATCTCATAGAACCATAGAATTTTAGGGATTGGAATGGACCTTATAGACCATCTAGTCCCAACCCCCTGCCCTGGGCAGGGACATCTCCTCACTAGACCAGGTTGCTCAAGGCCTCATCCAACCTGGCCTTGAACACTGCCAGGGTTGGGGCATCTACTACCTCCCTGGGCAACCTGTGCCAGTTTCTGAGAGATTCAGGAAATGTTTCTTCCAAAAGAGAGATATTTAGTGATACACATCCACTCTCCAGAGAGTATCCCATGACATTCCTGCAGGGCTTAAGCAAAAACTGACCTAAAAGCAGCAGCCAAGAGGCTAAGTTTGGCCTGATTTCACTACAGTAGTGAAGTTAAAAATACAAGCCAATACAGATTCTACAAGAGAACTACCATTTCCCCTCCTTTTCCTACTTCATCTTAAACACCCAGGGGTTACCTTGCAATTTCCTTGTTGACATTGGTCCTCATTTCATCTTCTTCCACTGCAGTTCCCCAGTCTGAACACCGGGAAAGGGGTCCAGGGCCTTCTGGTGTTGTAAAACTAGAAAAAGGAAGGAAAAAAAGCTGCTACAGGGAACAACCCACAACATTTTAAGATTAGAAATCTATATGGAATCAACTGAGCTGTGAACACAGCTCCCATCCACTGATCAAAGTGTTCTAAGGGGATCCTGGTATGAATAGTTCAGGTGTAGACAGTGATAAAAAAATAAGAGCCTTTCACTAAACTGAAGTTTAGCTGTGCTGGGGAATGGCAATGAAGACAGCAAGCAGCAGTGTGAACCTCGTGAGTGTTTGCACTGAGTGGAACCCCACACACATACTTGGGACACAGCTTCTCAAGGTGCTCTGTGCTGCCTTCAGAAACACGGAAATGACTTCCAAGACTTGAATTTTTAATTCATCATCTCATTTAACCTTACCACGACGGCATGCACAGCCTATATCCACTAACAAACACAACTGGCCCGTGCAGCTATTGCTTTGTGATAAACTGCAGTAAGCAAGCACGAAAATGATCAATACCACTCAAGAGATAAGAAGCGACTCCAAGATAAGAGCATCGCACTAGATTCCTTTCCCTCCTTTACGACCAGCTATTTATGGCCGACGATAAACGAGCAGGGGGCTTGGAAAACTGCATCCAATTCAGCA